GAATAGTGTAGGTTAGATGGGCTTCAGATTGGTTTCACAGGTCGGCGCAACATCGAGGGCCGAAGGGCCTGTACTGCACGTAATGTTCTATGTTCTATGTTCTATGTTTGAACATATCTGCTCCTTTCATTAGGCTTTCTACACGCCCAACAATTGTCAACATTGAACCTATGAACCTGGCTGGATGAATAGAGCGCCAAAATTCCCAAGGAGCTGTACACTACCCGGAGCAAAATAGCCCACATGAATGACACCCGTCCACCGCTGTCAATGTTTACCAGCTCCCCACTTGACGCATTTAGAATCTTGTGAGCAGTTTGGGGCTCTGTATCTTAGGAAGGATGTGTTGGCGTTGGAGAGGGGAGGAGGTTTACAGGAATGATAATGAAGAGCTTGTCATAGGAGGAGTGGTTGAGGAATCTGGATCTGTATTAAATGGAGTTTAGAAGGATGAGGGGGAATCTGATTGAAACTTACAGAATACTGAGAGGCCTGGATAGAGTGGATGTGGAGAAGACGTTTCCCACTAGTAGAAGAGACTAGGACCCAACAGCACAGCCTCAGAGTGGAAGGTATAGCCCTTTCAAACTGAGATGAGGAGGAATTTCTTCGGCCAGAGGGTAGTGAATCTGTGGAACTCATTGCTGCAGAGGGCAAGTCATTGAGTGTATTTAAGACAGAGATGGATGGGTTCTAGATTAGTAAGGGGATCAAGGGTTATGAGGAGAAAGCTGGTGAGTGTGGTTGGAAAATGAGATTCGAATAGTTAGGTGGTCGTTTTTGACCAGTGCAGACTTGATGGGCTGAAGGGCCTTGTTCTGTGCTAAACACGTCTACAATTGTGACTCTATGACTATCATGGGGACAGGTGATCAAACATTTGGTCAAATAGGTAAAGTTTAAACAACATCTTGAAGGCGGAGAGGAAGCTGTTGAGGATAAAACAGTTTATGGCGTAAATTTCAGAGTTGAGGTCTGAGGTACTTGTTTCAACCTAGATGCCACTTGGGTTTCTCCAATGTATTACAGCTCCTAATGGGATATCTCAAACTATTAACAACAACTTGCATTTGTGGAGCTCCATTTGCAAAGTGGAAAGAAAATCAATGCACTTAAGGAAGACTCAAGCAATAGTTGGGTGAACGCTTAAAATGTCAGAAGGTATAGACCAAGTGCAGGCACAAGGGATTAGCACAGGTTGGTGTTTGTAGGTTGGCACAGATGTGGTGGGCCAAAGGACCTGTTTCTAAACTGTATGACTCTATGAGTGAAAAGGAAGTGATATATTTTTACAGGAACAACATGGAGAGACAATATAAAATAAAAGGCGTTATTCCTAAAAGGATACGAAGCAAAGGATCCTGGGTGTTGTTACAATCAGATCCTGAGTGAGATTTCCCAAATTATTATTACCGTTCCAGAAACATTATCCTACACTGTCAAGCTGATGGGTCAGGAAGGAGAGTTGGCTCCCTTGAGTTATTCACACAGTCACTAAGTTGGTCACAACAAGATTAATTAACAAAGTTTCTCATCCCTTTTGGATACATTTTTCCCAGATCCAAATAAATTTATGTTTGAAAAGCGCGAATTTAACCAGGGTTTCTTGAATTAACGAAAGAAAAGATTTATTATTAGTAAATAAACATGAGAAGAAATAGTGATGAAACATATTAGACACAAATCAAGAATAAGAAGTGAGTTCAAAGAGATGAAAGTGCAAAGAAATTATAAGTTATTTGTTGAGTTGTTCATGAAGAGAGCATGAGATGATGTTGTGAGCTTTATTGAATAGAACTGTTTGCATTGACATTAGTAGTTGAGCAGTTGATTTCAAGATTCTTGTTTTTGGAGATTGACAGAAATTCTGTTGTTCTGATTCCTTTCAACAGTTACTGAATTCCAGTGTTCAGAATGAAAGAGACAATCTTTTTATACCTGCAGTGCAGGAGTGTTTAAAATGGCTGTTGTCAAAGCTGTGGCCTGTACAGCCCTATAGTACACACTCTAGGATAGTGTGTACACACTATTTACACACTACAGTACACACTCCAGCCAATAACACATCACAGATTAGAATTGCAGACAATTTTTAACCTCTTTTTCCATATTTCCTGAAAGGTAAAACAGATGTGTCTGTAAGAGGTGGTTTTCTGCTAAGAGACATTCATCTTCATCCCCCTCATTATGTCTTCTTGTTAAGTTGCTCCTAGTTTGAAGTTTCCCTGACACTTCACGGGTAGATATTCCAAGGGCTTCACGCAGGACTTAGCCAAAATTTGTCACTGAATTTGTCTGAATCATTCACTGAAATTGGATCCACCTTATTTTCTCTGTAGCATTCCTCTTTTCAAAAAAGCCACTAATTTTGGAATTTAAAAAAATGTTTGTGACAACTTTGAGGTTCTCATCCAGCGATGAACTGTGAAACACATGAAGTGGAGATTCACCAAGTAGAAAGTTTAGAGAAACACAGGGATCATGGGGTTTTGATCAGAATGGAGGAGGTTGTGGATGAGGAGGGGTAAGCTCAGGGAGGGATTCCAAAATGAAGACGAGATTGAAATAGAGGTTTTGATGAACGATGAGATTACAAGGTGTAAAGCTGGATGAGCACAGCAGGCTAAGCAGCATCAGAGGAGCAGGAAAGCTGACGTTTTGGGTCTGGACCCTTCTTCAGAAATGAACGATGTTAGGTTGGTGAACAAATGGAAGGTGGCTGAAAAGAAACTTGGTGCAAGTTAGAACACAAGCACCAGAGTTCTGGATGAGTGCTTATTTCTGGAACCCCAAAGAATTTGCAATTTTCATCATTGTGACTCATAGAATCACACAATATTGAAGAGGCCCTTCAGCCCATCGACTCTGCACCGACAAAGCAAACCTGTTTAAACCTACCCTAGCCCAACTTTCCAGCACTTTCCAGCCTAGACTGTTATGACAATTCAAGTGTTCATCCAAGTACTTTGTAAAGGTTGTGAGGTTTCTCACCTCTACTATCCTCCCGCACAGTGTGTTCTAGATTCCCTTCACCCTCTGGTTGCAGAGATTTTTCCTCAAATCCTGCCTAAACTTCCTGTCTTCATCCTAAAGTTATATCTCTTGTTATTAATGCTTCAATGAGGGAGAACAGCTACTTTCTATTGACTCTGTCCTTGCCCTTCATACACCATAGTCCAGTCCCCTCTCAGCCTTCTCTGCTCCAAAAACACAACCTGACCCTATTTAATCTCTCCCCATAGCTAAACTGCTCCATCCCAATCAACATCCTAGTGAATCTCTTCTGCACCACCTCCGGTGCAATCATACCCTTCCTTCCTTTTGGGCAGCACAGTGGCTCAGTGGTTAGTGCTGGTACCTCACAACACCAGGTCTCAGGCAACTGTATGTGTGGAGTTTGTATGTTTTCCCAGGGTTTGCTTGGGTTTCCTCCGGGTGCTCCGGTTTCCTCCCACAGTCCAAAGATGTGCAGACTGGATGGATTAGCCATGGGAAATGCAGGGTTACAGGGGTAGGGTAGGGGGGGTGTGGGCCTGGATGGGATGTTCTTTCAAGGGTCATTGTGGACTCAATGGGCTGAATGGCCTGCTTCCACTATGCGGGAATTCTATAGTGCAGCGACCAGAACTACACACTGTTTTCCAGCTGTGACCTAACCAAAATTCTGTACAGCTCCTACATAACCAGGACTGATAAAAGCAAGCAACCCATATACCTTCTTATTAACCTGTCCCATCACCTTCTGGGATCTGAGGACAAACATCCCAAGATCCCTCTGTTCCACTGAGTTTCCTAGTGTGCTGTCATACACTGAGTAGCACCTTCTTCCAAAGTGCATTAATGCTTTTCTTAATAGATCGTCTCTCAGAAATAATTTTCGCAAATGGGTAACTTTGTCAACAGAACAGGGAGAATGAAAGGCACTCCACGAGGTTTTCATTAACAAGTTCCCAAACATCAGACGGAAAGTCGACAGGTACCACCAGAAAAGCATATGAAAATAAGAAAAAGCGCACGATGAATCAACGCAGAACCTGGACAACACCCAGAAATGTGGACACCAGGCCCCAGGTTCACCACAAGCACAATAAACACAATACACACCATGAGCAGAAGAGGCATGTGCAACCTGAGCCAACCGAAGCGTTACTTTCAACCGAGGAAAATGATGAGCATTATAGAAATCCCCAGCTTGGATCACCACAGCAAATGTTACATCTGTCAACGTTCTCTTTATCTTCTTCATCACACTCAAGGGAGATGCCTGGTTCACACTATCAGCACAGCATATTGAGATCGCTGAGTCATCAGTCAATCTCTTCCAGTTACTCTTCAGCACGGTCAAAGGAAAGGGATGGTGCACATCCTCGTGAGAGATCATTAAGGGAATCAAGTAGCCTTCCGCTCTCTAGCAGTTCTTCTTCAGATATGTCAAGGCACAAGAAAAGAGTTACACAACCAGCACATCATCCCTCTGACACTATTGAAAAGTGTAAGGATGGCAACTGTAATACCAAACAGCTCCGAAAACCTGCCCACAGGCCCACAGTCAGAAAAGCCTCCTTGTCTTCAACTGAGGCCCGTGCCCAATCCAGTTCATTTTCATCCTCGGCTAAGTTGCATTCAAAGTGCAATGGAAGTTCTGAGCGCACATCATCAAGCTCATCATTGTCAAGTGTATCAAACTCCAGCCAGTTGTCAAAGCACTGGCGCAGTAAACCTTCTCGGCAACACCAATCCAGCTCTTCATTAAGAACTAGCAGTTCCAGCAGTTCCATGTCTTGGCACCAAAAGACACGGTCATCTACAAAGCATGGCACAATCACCAAAGTATGCAAAAGTGGTAAATGTATCCATGAATATATCAAATCACGGTCAACTACTATACATAAACTAAAGACAAACCATAGGACCTGGATCTTCAACTCCAAATCAGGACAGGTAAAATCTTTCAGCATTGTAGCACTTTCATTTAACCACAATGTTTTGGGGATGTTACAAATTGCTTCTAACAATACTTTTTTTTATTTTCTCTATCGTTGTAGGAGGAACCCAATGCAAACATCCTCCAGCTTCGTTTTGAACCTCATGGTTACTCGGTATGATCTATCTGGGGGTCCAACAAGTTTCTTGTCTTACAATTGCATGTGTGTCCAATGTGGTTTATTATGGAGGAACATTTAATTCATTCCTCTGCTCTCTTAACTGAATGGTTCCCATTTGAACATTTAAGCTTGCACTCTCACCTAACACTCTCAACTCTGAATCAGTGTTTTGTTGAATTGAAGCTCCACTCCAAGACTTGAGCAGATACATCAGATCTATCGTCAGGTAGTACTGCATTGCTGAAATGCTAAAATAAATATTTAAGAGGTACTGTAATGGGAGTCAGTCCATATGTTCAAATGAATGCTAATTAGACATTTACTATCTTGATCTCTTCTGCTTTCTTAAACACATTTGGCCACACCATCCTCCTCTATGGCCATGGAATTGTCCTCACATGTTTCCGTCCTTACTATAGAGTCACAGAGCATGGAAACAGACCCTTCAGCCCAACTCGTCCATGCCAACTAAGTTTCCCAAACTAAATTAGTCCCATTTGATGCATTTAGGCCATATCCGTCCAAACCTTTCCTATTATGTACCTATCTAAATGTCTTTTAAATGTTACAACTGTACCTGCATCTACCACTTCCTCTGGCAGTTCATTCCACATTCAACCATCCTCTTGTGGAAAGGTTGCCCCTCAAGTCAATTTTAAACCTTTCTCCTCTAACCTTAAAAATATGCCCTCTAGTTTTGAGCTCCCCTACCCTAGGGAAAAGACCTTTGTTATTCACCCTATTTATGCCCCTCATGATTTTATAAGCCTCTATAAAGCCACCCTTCAACCTCAATTCTCCAGTGAAAAATGTCCCAGCCTATCCAGCCCACTTTTATAACTCAAACCCTCCAGTCCCAGAAGCATCCTTGTAAATCTTTCCTGAACACTCTCCAGTTTAATAATATCCTTCCTTTTGTAAGGTGACCAGAACTGTACACAGTGTTCCAAAAGTGGCCTCACCTATGTCCTATACAACCGCAACATGACATCCCAACTCCTATACTCAATGGTCTGATCAATGAAGTAAGCATGCTAAATGCCTTCTTCACCACCCTGTCTACCCGTAGCCAACTTTTAAAGAACTATGAACCTACACCCCTAGGTCTCTTTGTCCGACAGCACTAACCAGGGCCCTACCATTAACTGTAAAAGTCCTACCCTTGTTTGTCTTATCAAAATGCAACACCTCACATTAATCAAAATTAAACTCCATCTGCCACACCTTAGCCCATTTTCCCAATTGATCAAGATGCCTTTGATCAAGATCCCCCAACCATGGCCAGAGCATGTCCAGCATTTGCTTCTATTCCTATATTGGCAGAGTTCCTCGGTTAAATCTGTGACTTCCCTTTTCTTCCACAGTAAAAATGGGGAAACATTATTTGAAACTGTAGGGTTGTTGTGTGTGCTCTGACAATACCCAATTGTGCTTCTTGAACACCTTTCTCAAGTCCCCCAGGTTTCCACACTCCCTTATGGTCAAACTGCTGTTCTTGATGACCCTCCAGTTAAACAGTAGGAAGATATTGCCTTCAGTTTCTGTCATCAACACTTTCCACCAATTTCATCTACACCAGCACACACACTCCCTTCCTATCCCCACTCCCACTTCCTGTGATTGGCTAAATTTGAACTAGGAATGTTCCCAGTTTAATGAAGATAAATTACCTCAAGCCAAGCTTTCAAACCTCTGTACCTGCTCTGTTGGAAAGACCATCGACCTACAACTCTGTAGCATTTCCCATCTCCAATAATGCTTCATTCCAGCTGCTTTCAATCTTCCATTTGTTCTCTGTCACATCTACACACAACTGTGGCAGTTTTCTCCTGTTCTCTCATCTAAACTGCATAAATTTCAATCACCCAAAACTCTAAGTGGGTTTTCCGCCGTACTCCTGACAAAGAAACAGCACGTGCTGGTATTAAGAATTCCCTGAAAGCCACCGGTGCTGACATTGCAGAATCTAAAGATTCAAACGTGTCATCTTTTGGATGAGATGTGAAACTGTGGAGGAAAATTTATTCAGGTAGAGTTAAATATCATTTAAAGTAAAAGTCTCCCCATATCCTAACCAACACCTGTCCTCCAAGTAGGACTACCAAAATAATTAAGTTTGTGGTTTATCTCAGTTCCTGTTTGTGGGCCTTCCTGTGTACAAATTGGCTACTACCATTTGTCTATATGGCAGCAATGACAACATCTTGAAACTGATAGTTCTCTGGCTGTGAAATGCTCTGGGACAACTTCAGCGTTTTGCTTTGAAGAATCATAGAATAGAATCCCTACAGTGTGGAAGTCATTTGGCCCATCCAGTTATGACCAACCCTCTGAAGAGCATATATCCTGTAACCCTGCATTTCCCACGGCTAACCCACCTAGCCTACACATCCCTGCACACTATGGGCAACTCAGCATGGCCAATCCAATCTCACCTTCACACCTTTGGACTGTGCTAGGAAACCGGTGCACCCAAAGGGAACCCACGCGGACACAGGGAGAACATGCAAACTCCACACAGACAGTCGCCCGAGGGTGGAATCGAACCCAGGTCCCTGGCGCTGTGAGCCACCATGCCACCAGATTTGCTTAATTGTGAATTTGTGTGTGTCTATCCATCAATCATTTTTTCCCTGTCTCTTTATGTCTATCTCTCTATTTCTCTGTGTCTCGCTATCTCTATCTATGAAACATATACAGGGTATTTGGTGAAGTTCACAGACTTTACTAATGCAAGTGATCTTCAATTTCAGTCACAAAACAAAGATCGATTAAGCTTTGAGTCATCGTCCAAATCCAGCTCAGGATCTTCAGCGAGTTTTTCCAGCTCATCTTCCTCTTCATCTTCATCGCAGCAGGTACGTCACAGCTAAATGATTCTAATAATGAGAATTGGTAACGGCTTGACCAATGTGTTATTGGGAACTGCAGTAAATATCTGTGGTCACTGCTTAAATATCTCTGGCAGCTATCAATAAACCTGAACGGTATGGTGTCATAAAGTCATAGAGTCATACAGCACAGAAACAGACCTTTCGGCCCAACTCATCCATGCCCACCTGGTTTCCTAAACTGAACTATTCCCATTTGCCTGTGTTTGGCCCATATTCCTCGATACCTTTCCTGTCCATGTACCTATCCGAATGTCTTTGGAGGAGAGAAACATGCTGAAAGTTCATCCACCTGCTCATGTACAGTCACACATGCAGGAAAATATATCTGTACAGAACCATTTTACAAACAGAATTATCCTCAGTTTCCCTGCCCTTAAAGATGCACAATAACTTTTTGGAACTTCATGATCAAACCTCATGCAATGAGCCCCACATGGACAAATTACCAGAGGTTTAACAATTCCTGGATGCTGGATTATTAACGAAGGCCGGCAAACATTGGGAACAGAATAGGATTTGAACTCAAAGGTGATTTGGTGAATCATCATTGCCATGGCTGAACTTTGTTACCAATAATAAGTAGATACAATGCAATGGTCTAAATGATCTGGCCTGTACTTAAAACCAGAAGATTTGGAGCAGAATTAGTCCATTCGGCCCATCAAGTCTGCTCCATCATCCAATCATAGCTGACATGTTTCTCAACTTCATTCCTCACATAACTCTTGATGCCTTTACTAATCAAGAACCTATCAATCCCTGTTGTAAATACAGTCAATGCTTTGGCCTCCATAGCCCTCTGCAGCAATGAGTTCCACGGATTCACCACCCTCTGGCTGAAGAAATTCCTCCTCATCTCAGTTCTAAAGGGACATCCCTTCATTCTAAAGCAGTGCCCTTGGATCATAGTCCCACCTACTAGTGGAGACATCCACTATGTCCATTCTGTCAAGGCCTCTTTGTATTCTGTAAGTTTCAATGAAATTCCTCTCTACCCCATCCTTTCAAACTCTATTGAGTACAGAATCCGGATTCCTCAACCACTCTGCATATGACAAGACCTTCATCCCCAGGATCATTCTTATAAACCTCCTCTGGACTCTCTCCAACTCAAGCACATCCTTCCTTAGATACAGGGCATAAAACTGCTCACGATATTCCAAATGCAGTCTGACCAGAGTCTTGTACAGCCTCAGCAGTACATCTCTGCTCTTGCATTCTAGCCCTCTCAACATGAATGCTAATATTTCATTTGCCTTCCTAAATGCCAACTGAAAGTGCATGTTAACTTTAAGAGAATCCTAAACTGGGACTCCCGAGTTCCTTTGTGAGCTTTAGATTGCTGAAGCCTTTCCCAATTTCGAAAATAGATTACACCTTTATTCTTTCTACAAAAGTTCATAACTTCATACTTTCCCATATTGTATTCTATCTGCCACTTCTTTGCTCACTCTCCTAGCTTGTCCAAGTCCATCTGCAGCCTCCCCACTTTCTCAATATTACTGATCCCTCCACTTGTCTTTGTGTCTTCTGCAAAGTTAGCAACAATGACCCTTGTTCAGATCATTGATGTATAATGTGAATAGTTGTGGTCCCAATATGGATGCCTGTAGAATGCCACTAGTCACCGACTGGCAACTGAAAAAGATCCCTTTATTCCCACTCCCTGCCTTCTGCCAATCAGCTAATCCTCTATCCATGCCAGTGCCTTGCCCCTAACACCATGGGCTCTTATCTTACTGAGCAGCCTCCTGTGTGGCAACTTGCCAAAGATCTTCTGGAACTCCAAATAGACCACGTCCGCTAGCTCTCCTCTGTCTAGCTTGCTCGTTACTTCCTCAAAGAATTCTAACAGATTTATCAAGCATGACCTCCCCTTGACAAAGTTAACATCACCAAGTCCCTGTGGCACCCTGAAGATAGCTTTATGAAGACTGGGCACCCACCCAGACCCTCAACCAAATGACCATTTGTAGCATGGGTGACTTGATAAGGGGTTGTTCCCAGGATATTCAAACAGAGTGAACATTAAACAATAATTGAATAATCACAGGGGAGGGCTGAGACTAATTGTTACACTTAAACAGCAAACTCAACATGAGCTAGAGGTTCAAATTATCACATAAAAACAGAACAGAGATAAGAACAGAACAAAATAAGAACAAAGTTAACGTTTCGGGCCCGGTGACCCTTCCTCAGAACCGGACCCGAAACATTAATTCTGTTTTTTCCTTCACAGATGCTGCCAGACCTGCTGAGCTTTTTCAGCGACTTTATTTTTGTTCACATTAATACCTTGCCCAATCTGCCAGATTTGGATATCTCTTGCATAAACTCAGAGTTGTGCTAGCAAGCACTGTCCTCACAACTTCATATGTCAATGTTTTTAAAATGAGCTATCATATAGAGCTCATAGAATAGAATCCCTACAGTGTGGAAGCAGACCATTCAGTCCATACCAACCCTCCTAAGATCTCACCCAGACTCACTCCCCCCAACCTATCCCTATTACTCTGCAGTTCCCATGGCAGACCCACCTAAACTGCACATCTTTGGACTGTGGGAGGAAACCGGAGCACCCAGAGGAAACCCACGCAGACAGAGGGAGAACGTGCAAACTCCACACAGACAGTTCCCCAAGGGTGGGATCAAACTTGGGTCCCTGGTGCTGTGAGGCAGCAGTGCTAACCACCGAGCCATCATGCCTCCCTTATAAATACACACTGGCCAATAAGCAATGGTCAATTGGCAAACTAATTTCAAAAGTACCAGTTACAGAGTTTTCATCACTCTATTTATTTTTGGAGCAACAGCTAGGGTGACTTGTAGCTTATTGGGTATACTGATTGCCAGAATAAATAGGGAATTGGAAAGAATTTCACAGAGCATCAATAGACTGTGCGACCCAATGGGACAATGCCCTTCAGAATCTTTCGCTCATCTTACTCCTCCTAAACCAATCAGCAGACACTTCTCTCCTTCATACACTTCTCTGGTTTTCCTTCGAATGTGGCCAGGCCATTCCTCAATAAGCAAATAATTTCTCACTAACATGTATTGAAGCAAAAATAGTCAGAAGTAAATTTCACCCTTTAATGTTCAATCAACCTTTGTGTGTTTTCACCTTTCTAATCCTTCTCAACAATTTTGTTACTGTTTAGAATGTGCTACTTCCAGTATAAAATGTGACTACTATTTTTTAACAGTGACCTTCATTATGTAGCAGAGAACTGTCGTAAGACTAACGTGATAAAAACAATTGCACATAGAGGGAAAATCACAATGGAATGAATGTGACCACCTATGTTAATTAGTGAGGATTGTTATAACATGCCACACCACAAATCAACTTAAGGTCTCTTGCCCGCTTCCACGTCAAGATTCTGGTGTAAGGCCTGTCTGAGGCCAGTTATGGGAGTAGGCCCAAGCTGGTCAAGTGTCCAAGTATAGAAAACATGAGCTCTCCTTTTCTCTTATGAATGCTTTCCATCTGCTGAATACTGTTAGACATTCAACAGAGGGTGGCACAATAGAAAAATCTACTCTGTGATATTTATTTGAGATGCACAGGGAATTTCCCCAAATGAAATACATTGATCTCCTAGACAACCTTCAATCTTACACCCTCTGTAAATTTTATGTCTACCAAAACTTTGCAGCCTGACCATGCCTTAACTTGCAACCAGCCCCATTCACACTCTATGCTTACCCAAGCAACTGCTACATGGTAAAATTCTTGTCCTGTTTTCAGATCCCTCCATGGGTCTTCATCTCTTCCTACCCTGACATCGCCTTGATTCCACAATTGGTGCCTTCGGCTGTCTAGACCCTAATCTACAGATGGTCTTCCTTAGCCCCTCCATCTCTGCAACTCTTTCTCTTCCAATACGACTCTGTTTAAAATTGACCTCTTTGACTAAGCTTTTGAGGCACATATTTGTGTGTGAAATGAAAAACAGAAATTGCTCAAAATATTTTGCAAATCAGGCAGCATCTGTGGAGAGAGAAACTGAGTTAATGGTCCAACTAAACTTTCCAAATGGCCTAATGTTAAATTTTGCCTGTGAAACACTTTTGGGATGTTGTTAACTATTTTAAAGGCATGACATAAATTGATTCACATTTACAATTAATTGCAATAGCATGAAGCATTCCGCATGAATATTTCTGAGTAAGAATCTTGTTTAAATTTTTCACCTTCAGTCCTTGTTCCTTGGAGACTCCGTACCACCAATATTCTCGCTGCTAATCCGTGCCATCACGATCGATGACAAAGAGAGAGGTTATGAGACAAAGGCCTATGTGGATAATTCAATGGACCAACGAGCATTACAACTATTTGTGGATGAAATTCAAGAAGGAGGCAACTGGCGAGTTTGTATTGACGCTGAAATGCCTAACGTACACAGAGCATTGGTAATGTACAACAGTGAATACACATGGGTCTTGTCAAAGTCTGTATTACATTTTGATAAAGTACTGCAATAATCCATGTTTTGTTCCATAGGATGCAAGAATCTTCAGTGTTAGACTATTGCAAGGGTTTAACACTGGGAGTCAATGGCCTAGCGGTATTATTACTGGACTGTTAATCCCGAGACCCAGATGACGTTCTGGGGACCTGGGTTCAAATCCCACCACAGCAGATGGAGGAATTTGAATTCAATAAATGTCTCGAATTAAGAATCTAATGATGACCATGAATCCATTGTCGATTGTTGGGAAAACGCATCTGGTTCACTAACGTCCTGTAGGGAAGGAAACTGCCATCCTTACCTGGTCTGGCCTACATGTGACTCCAGACCCACAGCAATGTGGTTGACTCTTAACTGCCCTCTGGGCAATTAGGGATGAGCAATTAATGCTGCCCAGTCAGTGATGCCCTCATCCCGCAAATAAGTAAAGAATAAAGTTAAAAAGATTAGATAGGGTAAATAAAGGAAACCCATTTTCTCTCAAGAATGTCCATAATCTTAAAATTAGAACTGGTTTGCTCAGGATGATGGTTAGGTAACCCAATTTCGTTAAAAACAGAAGAAATCGAGAAAGGTGGTGGGGGACAGTTGTACTGTTCAAAACTGAGATGGATAGATTCGTGTTAGCTAAGTATATCAAGGGATAGATGTGAGATGCAGATTAGCCAAGGTGTGATTGAATGGGGGAACAGGCCAAAGGAGCTAATGGCGTTCCCTGTTCCTGAAGAAATCTTTTCTTGTGCCAAGCACTGGCACATTGTGTTATGTAGCAAAATGGACTTCTACCTCCAAGGGATACGGGGAGAGGGCAGGAAGGTGGAAGTGTGGATCAGCTATGATCCAACTGAATTAGTGCAGCAGGCTCAAAAAACTGAATGGCTTACTCCTGCACCTATTTCTTACGGCCGTATGGGCCAGGGTTGAACAGGGAGTCTTTTTCACAGAGTGCTGATTCTAGCACAGAGCTTTATTGAGCGAGTTAGTGAGTGAGAGAGAGAGTGACTGAATGAGAGACTGAGTGTGAGGGGAAGCAAGTGAGTGAGTGAATAGAACATAGAACATTACAGCGCAGTACAGGCCCTTCGGCCCTCGATGTTGCACCAACCTGTGAAACCAATCTGAAGCCCATCTAACCTAAACTATTCCATTATCATCCATATGTTTATCCAATGACCATTTAAATGCCCTTAAAGTTGGCGAGTCTTCTACTGTTGCAGGCAGGGCATTCCACGCCCTTACTACTCTCTGAGTAAAGAACCTACCTCTGACATCTGTCCTATATCTATCACCCCTCAATTTAAAGCTATGT